TTCTGTCGAATTTAATTCGTTGAATTGAATTCGACACGGCAGAAATGCGACGTATGAACCGGGCCTTACCAAGACTAATTTTGTGTTTGGTTTAGCTCGCTCGACTGCCGACTGAGACTGCTCGAGTACTTTTGTGGAATACACTTAACGAATTTCCTCGCTTTCTGCTATTCAATTTACGGTAGAAAAGTCTGATTTTACGAGATTTTAAAAGCAACGACTGACAGAAATTGTTTTTGTATAAAACTTCAAACTTCGCACGAAACTTTACACCGCAAAAACAATTTTGGAGAACTTAACTATTGAAATAAATGCAACTAACATAAAGTAGTTCGAAAAAATGTGCTCTTTAATACATCTTTCTTTGTCTACTCTCTGAGTTATGATGAGTTACTCGCTCGTTGCCGATATTTTTTAACAAATCATTAGTAGACGGCACGCGAGCCGATTCAGTGACAAGGGTTGCGTAAACAAACCCAGTTGTAATCTGTAAAACCAATTTACTGCAGGAAAAAAAAGCAAAACAACAACAACAAAAAAACTGATGATGTTCACCAGTTTCCCAAGCAGAAGCATCAGTCTCAAACATTAAACTGATTGCTTTTTGATTATAGGTATACTGTGATATGACGTCAGAGGTCGAAGGATGGACTCTTATTGCTCGATTCTCAAATAACGACAACATGAACTGGATGCGTGACGACGGACTCTGGTGGTATGATCAAGATGTTGCCATGGGAACAACAACAGATCCATCCATTAACTCTGACATGATCTCACCTGCGTTTTGGTTAGTTAGTGGCAGAGAGTTTAAGATCACGCGCAGTGATGACCCCAGCCACACTCCTTTGTTACAGACCACAGGTAACTGTTTGGCTGGACAAACATTCCGATCAAAAATCACAAGCTATGGCGACTTTAGAAATGGTAAAGTTTGGGCCAGTGACCAGTGCCTGGGAAGCTGCACAGTTCAATATGGCGGTCGGTACAACTCAACAGACGGGTTTCAACAGGCTGAGTGTAGTGGAGACATCCAAAGCGCC